AAGACTCTGTATCCTGGACTAAATCTGTGCAAAATGTTCTTGGTAACATTATGTTGCTCCAAATAGCAAATTCTGCAATCGGTACATCAAAGCTGCAAGGAAAAATGCTTTTAGATGGCTTGCTCCTGTCCTAACACTTTTGAAACATTTTTAGACATGATCTTTTCAACGCTACACCAGGGGATTTCCACTCCCTTGCTGATTTAAAATGCTCGTACTGTTGTTTTAACCACAAAGCTTACACTCGTGCACGCTTGCTCTCTCATTTTCTCTTCGCTGAGGATCGGCTACACATTTCAGGTACTACTAAAACATTCTACTAAAACGTGTCTCAGCAATGATGTCAGGAATCTAATGCTGTTATAATTATTTGTCATCTGTAAACAGCTCCTCAGGTGCTAGCTGCTGCAGGGGGATGTGTGAGTGCCACATGGTTGTCGTAGAGGGCTTCAGAGCCTGAAAGTTGTCCACAGCTGAGCTGACAGCAGCACCCAGAGCATGGGGCTGCAAGCAGAGAGGTCTGCAAGTGTGCCTTCTGCAGAGATTGCTGAGGGGGGTCAGGATGATGGTAGATCATCTATATATTGATACAGAAGTGTAGAACTGACAAATGAAAGAACTGTTCAGTTCTGGGGGAGGGTGGTCTAACAGAAAGCGATCTGTACGATGTTTTCTTGTGATCATCAGTATTTACTAGCTTGAAACATAGCTATTCAGAAATTGTGGGGTTTCTGGAGTGTGTGGTTTTTGGTTCGTTCTTTTTCTGTTGTTTGTTTGTTTCCATGTGTGTGTGTTTTTTAAATGACTAGATTATAAAGTAGCTTCATTGATTGGTTTTTCTTTTTTAATGACTCTTGAGTATGACCTCTCAGTAGTGTTAAGAAGAAAATTAATTTCCAGCTGTGAACACAATTATTTTAAGACAGAAGTCCATGTTACTGTAACTTAACATTGTGTTGGTTAGATGTAGACAGTTTTATGATAATACAAAATTAATAAATTTGCGATTAGGAAATCCAGGAAAAATAGCAGAGGTAGCAAATAAATAAAATCAGTCATGAAATTGAAGCTACTTCAGCACCAGATACGCTTTGCTAGTTGTGTATTGCTAATTTTTGAAGTGCTGTCTGTACTGTAATCTATGTCTTAAAAATAATGGAGTCTAATCTTACGGGGATTCATTATAATGCTTGACTATGACTCTATGCAAAAGAAACCTTTCTGTGTCTCACTCCACTTGGTGAAAATTTTACTATGGAGATTGGCAAATTGATGCTTGCTTCATAAAGCTTTACTGTTTACTGTAAGCCTGCGGAATAAGGTAATGTTGGAGTTTGAATTGGATAGTATTGTCCGCATGCAAACAATACCTAATTTGATTCTGCTGCCCTCTGCAGCAACAGGCTCTGTGGGGCCTCAGAGGAAGTTCTGAAACTGCTACTGTTAGAAGCACTTTCTCCTGGATGCCAGTTGGTCACTGTACTGTCATTTTTAAGCAAGCAGAGTTGCTCTTGGGGTTGATTTGCTGCTGAGTGAAGCCCTGTGTATTTCAGTGGTGAGTCTGCTGGATCCTTCTCTGTAACCTCAGGGCTGCGAGGCTTTAAGAAATGCAGCCAGGATCCTTCTCCCCTGAAGGGACTTTGCTGGTGGCTTTTGTTATCAGCAGCCAAAATATTACAACTCTCCCTTGGGTTAGGAGGAGTGCTGACGATGCAGCAGAGATAGCAGGTGGCATCACCTGTGCAGACTGTTTAGCTGTGTATGTTAAGAGTTGGAGCATATGTTTGCTGACCCCAAAATTTAGTGTTTTCATAGTGAAGCTTTATCTTAGTAATAAATCATTTGACTTGGTTATTTTATTTCAAAATAAAAATTTCCTGGAGGCAGCTAATCTTTCTAGTTTATAAGGCAGCTTGGAGAGGGTCTTTCTAGTGCAAGGTAAGTTCCCTTCCACTGTATTTCTGTCAGTCAGCTCCCATGGAAGTGAACTGATCTTAGACCTCTGAAGTATACTGACATTTACAACAAAACTTTCCAAATCCTGACTTAGACACGTTTCCCATTCTGGTAAGGTAAATCATCTTCAGTGGGAGGGATGGGGCACCTTCTAAGACCTTCTAAGCTCTGTTCCTTTTCCTTGGGGCAAAGGAATAGACTTGAACTGGAACTAGAGTGTAGGACTACAGGTGTACAACTTCATTTCCTATTAAATATATTTCATGGAATCATGGTAGGGAAGGAAGTAATCGTGATGAGCAGCACCCCAACCCTGGAGCATAGCTGAGCATTATCTTCCCTTACATTATGAACCCAACTGAAACTGTGCTTTCAGCCAGTAGCAGATCCCCTATCTACTAACCAGCAGGACCAAGCATCCTATTTTCCTGTCCATGCTTAATGACCAAACCTGGAATAACAATTCACAAACTTACCTTTCTCAGTTTAAAAGACTTGGCGGTGTTCAGTGCCCATGTGTTGCATTGGCTGTCCCGGATGTTCAGGCACTGCAGCTTTCTGTAGTGGCTCATGTGCTCATAGCTCACATGGCAACGTGATTAACCTCCCTTGGGAACCTTTATGTGAGAGAAAAGAGGAAAAACATACTGTCTTAAAAAAGAACTACCACATTATGCAAGTGTTTTTCTCTGTGTGCAGTGAGTTCATGGCTAAAAAAAAAGTTAATCTGTCCACGTTAGTTCAGTGTCATTGTTGCACATGATCATAATTGCTATATGACAGTAAATAAGGCTCATGTTGATTTGTCTTCTTAGGTTCTGCTTGTGTCTTACCCCACTTCTGAGCAGTAAGGTCAACCATTTCTGTTTGGGCTTCATCTGATGTGGTGGTAGTTAAAGCTAGATAAAGAAATTGTGTTTTTGTTATGAAGCTTCTTCACTGTGTTATTGCTAGTGAGATATGTATCTGCATGCAACTCAGATAAAAAATGTTGTTTCAGAAGCACTGTGCTGTTGATATAGGTAGGGGCAGGGATGTGAAGCAAGGTGGGAGCCCAGCTGTGAGCTCTTTCTGCTGTGCTGCCATCAAGCTTTCCATACTACTTAGGAGCTCTCCATACTACCTAGGCTTAGCTTCTGGTGATTCCAGCAGCTTCCCTAGGTGCAGTCAGAGTTCTGTCCAGCACTGCCATTTACACGCAAGATAGGAACACTTACACAGTAGAGGATGCCCTCATGTTTTTGGCACACTCACACTACAGAGGATGTCCTCACGTTTTTGGCAGCTGTGAGCAGGCAGAAGTGAAAGCACACCTCGGCGGTGGTGTGGGCCAGGCCCTGGTGTAAGCAGGAAGTTGATGCAGTCAGCCAGCGGCAGGCAGGTGAGCACAAAAAGCATTTTTTCCCCTCATGGTTTCCCACTGATGTTAATTCAAAAAGCATGGGCGTGGGCAGCGGTGACCAGGAGGGTCAGAAGGGCTCCTGCAGCCAGCCTGGGGCTGCTGTGACAGTAGCGGAAATACGTCATCTCACGCCAAGCACTGGCCAGCGGTGGGTCTGTCACCCAGCCATCACCTCTGGCTCCTCGGGGTTTGTCCCACACCAAACCACACTGATTCAAGCAGACTCCACTCCAGCTTTGGTGTGTGGCCAAAGCAAAGTCCCTCTTTTCTGTCTTACCCCCAGTCCCGAGCCTGTGGGAAGAGCTGACCTACAGCTGAAGGGCTGCGCAAGGAAATGGCGGGAAGCTGCAGAGGCTGATAGGGGCTGCAGCAGCCCCAGGGCCCTGGCAGAGCCCTCCCAGCTGTGTGCATCACCTGGCCTGGGTCCTCACAACATTGGCAGTCATGTAACGGCTGGTGATGGTGGCAAACCTGAGCTGTGTGCCTGGGAAGGCTTTCAGGATAGACCCTGAAAGAAAGAAGCTGGTAATCATGGATTTTTGTGTGTGTCTGTGTTTTTTACACATTGTGGCATCAGCTTGCAGAATACATGATTCCAGAAGGTGCCAGTCCTGAAATGTGACAGGACTGGAAAAATTGGACGTCCCATAGATGAGAAGGAACGTTCATAAGTGAGAGGAATGAGATGTGTTTTGGGGATCTTACTGAGTGCTGAGTGTGCAGGAGATTGGCCAGCAGATGCCCATGCTGCACAGGTCATGGTGGCTATTGCTCACCTGTGATGGAAGCTGTGCTGCAGGTAACCCCTGGCTCCTGCTGATCGTGTGTTTTGGCTTGCTTTCAAGTCATCTGCTTCCTCTGGCCTGCAGGATTTCCTTGTCCAGCACAGGATTTTGAACAGAAATCTGCTTTCTGAGCCCCAGCTGCTCCATGACCTTTCAAGCTCAGTGCTGTGCCATTCTCACCACTGTTTCCATGGGCCAACAGCCCTCAGTTGAATGGGATATGCCATGTATCAGTGCTGCTCACTGCCATCTGTGAGGTTGTTGTGGTTATGCGCCAGCCATGCTTCCACAGCAGACACCCTCGGTGACCTTACAGGAGCTGAGTCAGGCCCTAGCGAGATGCCACTGCCAGCAAAAGTGACTCAGGTGACTGGCAGGGAGGATGATGCACCCGAAGGGGAAACAGCATGCTCAGGTACTGCTGTGAAATTGAGTACCTCTGTGGTGAGTTGTGTTTTGTGCTGTCAGTAATGAGGTACTGACCAGAAGATCAAACACTTGAGTTACGTTCTTTTATTTAAGAGAACATGGTTTTGGCTGATGAGCTGTGCTTTTGTACACATCCTGTAGGTATAAATGTCTTCTGAATGCAAAGCTACAAGAAATAAAAACCTGAGCAGCTTGAGGTTTTTAGCTATTTGCACAAAAGTACTGTAAGATTGAGGGGACCTGTGGCAAATCTCAAGGTTTGTGACTGTTAGAGCTGGAAACAGATGTTGCTGGTTTTTTCCTATTAGAAAACTAACGTTGCATTCATCAGGTGTCTCTGAGCTTTTACAGGTTGAGCAAAAAACTTATGACATGTTTCTGATTGCAGTCTTCCTTTTTCTTTTTTTTTTTTCTTTTTTTTCTTGCAGGCAAGGTTAATATAGCCAAGAACTGACATATAATTAAGTAAAATTCTGGAAAAGATGAGATTATAGTCTACTGCTATAAATGAATAATCATTTGGAAATAGAAGGATGACAAGATAAGAGGCTTTGGCTCCTTTTAACACCTAAACTGAAGGTAAAATCCCTCTACTCCTGTTTTTCTGTGTGTGTGTACTGGCCATGAACCACAAAGCTATCTTGTGTGCACCAGTGCGGTGAATTTGTGATACTGTGTGGGAGATTTCCACTTTAAGCACAGACTTTCCTGGCAGATCTTAGGACCAACAGTTGGCCTCTGCTTTCCCCACATGCCTGCTTTAAATTTTGGTGTTTTTTTTAGGCCAAGAGTTCCTGCTAGAAAATTGAGAAAAAATTCCCTGTTCTGGGAAATAGTTCTCAAATCCCAAAACTCTTTCCAAAGTGTGCTTTAGTGCTTGTCATGTAAGCATCATCTTGGGGTCCTCTGAGCATTCTGTTGTACTTCCACAGTTGATGCCACATTTCCCTTTGAAATCTGTTGGCAAACTTCTGCAAACTGAAACCCTCAGACAGATGGCAGCCTGCCGCAGGCTATAGCAGAGGTGAAGCAACTGATGGTGAGCATTTAACAAGATTCTTCCCATGTCTGATTTTCCAGCGCGGCTTCCATGGCCTGTGAGGAACTCACTGCTGTCTCGGGCATCTTTACGCGCCAGAACTCTGCTAGTGCTGTTTCTCTGGACTTCGAACCCAACACTGACTACAAGTTTGTGGAAACCTTAGAGGACCGGTACAAGTGTGCCTACTGCCACTTAGTCCTTCACAATCCCCACCAGACAGGATGTGGGCACCGGTTTTGTCAGCAGTGCATTCTCACTTTGCGGTTAGTACAGACTCCTTCCTGTATCTACAGGCTCCCTGTCCTCCTGTTCTTAAACAGAAGTCGGCATCTTCCATAAATCAGCAGTGAATTCCATAACAATGATTCTGTGGTGACACATTGTATGAGAGTCAATGGGAAGACTTCTGAACTCAAGGTGTCTTTAAAGATCTTACAGGGTGCTGGAGAGAAGTATAGGATTGCTTTGGCAACTGCATAGAAGTCAGCATATGAAAAATTTTTATATGAATTTAAACATTATTGAGTGGGACAATGTCTTGCTTTGTCCATCTGTTATTGGTACTACTCAGGTGATTTTTTCTTGCATTAATATTTCATGTTATTGGTGCCAGTAGCTAAATTAAGGCTAGTTTCATTTGGTTCCATGTAATTTCTTTACTTCCAGTGGAGTCCTTGAACTGATGTTAATATTACCCAAGACTACAGTGAGATTAGAAGGCTGTTGCCATCCGTTTGCTTGGGATTCACCTGCAGGTGTAAATAAGCTCACCCGGCAGACCTATCAAATGTTTTGTGTGCATGTGCCCAGGACGACAGCAGAGAAGCTGGATTGTGTGACCAGATATTGCTTTCATTTTTTACAAATTTTAGATGCTTTATGTTTGTCACTTTTCCCCCTCTGGGTTGCCTCCCTATGCACAACAGCCTCAATATGCATTTTCTCACCTCTTATCATAGGACCTCTTTTAATACAGGGGACATTAAGTTTCCCTTTATTGTTTTAACAAGGTCTGCACTACTTGTACTAAACAGAGGCTAGGCTTAATGCGCACAGATTTTTTCAGATATGAGATCTGTAAGAAGCAGATGGCCAGAGAGTGACAAGATCCCCTTTAATTTAAAAGGCATCTTATTAACAGTCACAGGACAAACTGCTTTCTGTTATTAGTTCATTGTTGCAGCTTAATAACCTCCCAGAGCTCTAAGCAGACTGTGGCTGTGTAGTTGCTAGAACAAAGCCTTTCCAAAGTGCTTTTTGATTCTTATGGTACCCCATGTGAATGGGACATAGATAACTCACATTCCTTCCATACCTTATTATTACATAAGTTCTAGGTATGATGTTTTGTTGATTCATATCAAGGAAAATATCACTTTGACATAGGAACAGCAGATAAGACTTAACTTGTTAAACCATCTCCAGCTTAAATTACTTGTTATAAAAGTGACTAAAACGTAGGAAATTTAAGATGGATCAAGAATCTGTGCCCTCAAATTATTCAGGCCGGACCTCATTTTGATGAACCCATGCTGACTATGCCTGATAACAGCTTTGCTTTCTAACTGCCTTTCAATACTCCTCAGGACAATCTTTTCCACAGCTTTTCCAGGTTAGGCCAACAGGTCCATAGTTTCCCAGGTCTCCTCCTCCTGCCCTGTTTGCAGCTGGGTTTAATACTGTGCAGCTTCCAGCCATTGTGAGCCTCTCCATACCCCCATGACCTTCATTAGATTGTTGAGAGGGGTTCAGCTACAATGCCCACCTCAGTGCTCTGGGGAGATGCCATCAGAGTCCATGAACTTCTGAACGTTCAGCTGATACAGTTGTCCCTTACAATTTTGGTGACCACAAATTGAAAGCCCCTGCTCCAAGATCCATGCCAGCTGAATTCTAGCATAACGCAATCTTGGAAAGTAAATCAAATCTTCTGTGGGTTAACACAACTCTTCTTTTAATCTAGAGAACTGAATGCAGTACCCACATGTCCTGTCGACAAAGAAACAATAAAAATGCACGAGGTAAGTGGCTGTGCATGCAGAGACCACCTGCATGAAAAAAAGCAGGACAGCTGAGAACAAGGTGGATCTGAGCCTTTTTGTCCCCAGAGGCGGAGCAGCTTTTGTCTTATGAAGCGATGCTGACTGAAAGTGAAGAAAAAGAGATTTGGATGTACAGCTAAAACTTTCTTTTATACTTCGCATTCTAAAGTTATTTCAGTTTAGTCCTCTGTATTTCCAGTAAACTGTCAAATCGTTTCACAGAGTTTTAAATCTTCTCATGCCTTTTGATATTTTTTATGGTGGATTTTTGTAGGTTATTTTACCATGAGAGTTTATTGGCATACTTTTTAATCCCCTGTCTTTCTGGGGGATCTTGTTTGTTTGTCTTTAATTTTTGACTTGGTTACAATTTGCTGTCTTAACTATTTCTATTATATATCATTAACCCTGCAGACTTTGTTTGCTTTTTGGTAACTTTTTAGAGGAAAAGACAAGTTCATGCCGCTTAGTTTGCAATCTACCTGATTTTTGTAATGGATTCATCTGTTCTTGTTTACATGCCAAGGCTTGAAAGTATGCTGCCTACTTGATCCTGCCGGAATGAATTTCCCAGCAAAATGAAATGTCTCCTCCCTCTTCTGCTCCTTAGACAAAACTGTAATTAGATTGTCTTTGTAATTCTGTTTTTCACTCACTGTCTGCTGCCCTGTGGAAATCTTATGACAGTAGTGCAACACAGCAGCTGCATAATGCTCTGTGTAGGAAGATCCCTAAATAAGACTGGAAGTTTGCTCAGGGAGCTCAGTTGCTTCTGCTTACACAGCTATTTCTCAGAGTCTATAGACAGGGTGTCTGAGCATCATTGCCATCCATTCCTTTACAGGTATTCAAGGACAACTGTTGTAAAAGAGAAGTTCTCAACTTGTACGTGTTCTGCAAAAACTTCCCTGACTGCAATTCAAAAATAATTCTGGGGCGGTATCAGGTTAGTTGGCTCAATCACATTTTAAGCCTTTGATTTTCATGTGGACTTTGTGTGTCACAAGCTAAATTTCAGTGGTTGCCTTCAGACTTTTGTCACTGTAGCAATGTGGCTTGAGTACACAGTCAGTGTCTTAGTTGTACACTGAGTAACAAATACTATGTTGTGGCTGTAAGCTTACAACAGCTGCGCCTTATTTGTTTGGTAAGAACCATTTGCTTTATATTGCTGTGAATATATCGGTCATTTTGCAAGTTCAGGAGGACTGTAGTGAAGGTTTGCTATATAATGATGAAAATATAATGATATGGGAATTTAAATATTACAAAAATAGCAAGGATAACTCACATCAGAAGTCTGTGCAGGGTGATGTGGAAGTGGGGAGAAAGACGCAAGACAGGTGAGCAGGTTGGTGCTCAGCCTAACCTCACTGCCTTGCTGCTCAGCAGGGCCTGAGCCCAGCAAAAGTCCAGAGCCGTGGCAGCACGGAGATGGCCTTACTATATCCACAGCACCTGTACTTAATTTCTGTATGCTTAGGCATAAGGAGATGCTTGATTTGGCAAAACTTGCTAAGACGTGCTGGCCATTCTGGCGTGTTTGTGGGAAAAGTTGAAATCCTATAGAGGACTCCTCAAATTTTCAGAATTTTGCGTGTCACCAGACTGCCAGATGTTTCTGTATGTCATACTGGGGTTTAATTTGCTTTAATGTCTTGCAGGAACATCTTCAGCAGTGCTTGTTTGAAAGCGTGCAGTGCACTAATGATGGATGTTGTGATCAAATCCTTCGGAAAGATTTGAAAGATCATTTGAATCAGCACTGTAAATTTCGAGAAGAAATGTGTCAGTACTGTAATAAACACGTGGTGTTAATGAACATAAAGGTAAGATTATAAAACATTCCCTGGAGTCCATCCATATATTTGCCTTTTAATATTGCTGAGTGAAACGTTTCCAGCATTGCAGTGGGGTTTTACCACTCATGAAACAAAACTTGGCTGAGTAGCTGAAGGAGAAAGCACAATAAAAATGAGAATGCTTTAAGTAATACCAGTTACTCTTACTCTCTTAAAAACATGATGTGGGGCTTGTGTGTGTATGTTTATGATTACTTTTTGCATGCCAATAACTACTTCTATGTATGCTGTTTTACAAAAATGAAAACCATTGCCTTGCTTTTCTTTTTCCCCAGAATCATGAGGAAAATGACTGTCCTGATTATCCCATGCCTTGTCTCCAAAACTGTTCACAGATAATTCTGAAAAAGGAGGTACGAGGATTTTTTTCACATGCAACAATTCAGCAAATCGCACACTTCACTAAAACTGAAACTCGCATCACAGACTGCATTGGCTCACACCAATACAACTTCATCACTCTCAGTATTTTCTTTGTTTGGTCCTAAACGTGATGCATGTCCCATCTGACAAGAGAGGTGTTTGGTCACTGCAAAGCACTGGTATTGCAGTATGGGAAGACACCTGTCTTGCTTATTGATCCTGAATATTCATTTTCCTCTTTATGTAACCAGTCATGACATTGGCCTCTATTCACTCCTTAGGCAGGTTTTTAGATTTTATCAGTGTAATAAGGAACTTAATATTTATTTCATTACAAGTTTCTTTGTTAATATACGCAGATTGAAAAGCATCATACTGTGTGTCCTGAGACTGAAGTGGACTGCCCATACAAACAGTATGGCTGCCATATAAAGGTAATGTTTTATAGATCATTGCTTGTGCTAGAAATTTGTCTCCCAAACCAGAGTAGTTAATCAAGATAATCATTTTTAGTTCTTTTACAACCATTTCTAGTAAGATGCATCAGCAGAAAACCAGGACTGTAATTCCCACACTTTCAATGCACGGAGGGGACATTTAAAATCCTGACATCAATAAATCTTTTACCCATCAGCTTCAAAAATCTGTGTGTCTGATTGTTTTGTTCTTTCACTCCCCTTCTGCCTCACTAAGGTGAAAAGAGGGAAACTTGCTGAACATGAAAATGGTGCCCTGCGGGAACACATGCTGCAGATTTTAGACAAGAATTCTAGATTGGAAGAACAAGTAAGTTGTATTTAATGAACACTCTTCCACAGTTCTTGGCAGTTTGGGAGATTACGTGAGATTTTGCATCTGTTGTCTGTTACAGCTCAGATGCATTCTAAAAAGACTGGTTTTATTGTCCTCACCTCTGAAATCAGAATATGCTCTTCCAGTGAAGTCAGGCAATTAGCTGGAAATTTGTCTGTGCTCAGGCGTGTGTATTCTCCATCAGACACAACGGGAGCCTTGTTGCCATCGCTCATATCATTTGCTTTCGACTTCTTGCAATTGATGCCAAGTTTGTGAATAGAATATTTGAGGGTTTCAGAGGTTAGTGAGATTGCATTGAAAAGGAGCCTTGGGGTGCTGAAGTCATCCCCTCTGCAGAGGTGGCACAGAGCAGTGCAGAGCTTCCTGCCTCCTTCATCCTGCCTCATTCTTCCTGCCTCCTTCCTACTGCCTACTTGTGGCTTATAAAAATCTCACTTTGCAAGCTGGGCAATAGCAAGTCAGATTTAAGATGCAAGGATGTCAGTATTAGACAGCACATATCCTTGAATTTTGAATTATCCAGCTAAGCTAGAGGCTTTACACTGTAAGCTTCTCTACTTTCTCCTGTACCACAACATGTTTTAATTTAATCCCTGTTCATTTTGGTTGTGCATGGAGCCTTTTACTCTGTACTTTTCCATCTCTAGATCTCTGACCTGTACAAGAGCCTGGAATGTAAAGAGATTAAAATCCAGCAGTTAGCAGAGGCTGTTAAAAAGTGTGAGAAAGAATTCAGACAGTTTACACAACTGTTTGGTAAAAATAGCAACTTGATGGTAAGCACACAGGTGAGTGACACATTGGTTTTTTCCTTTTTGGCCAATTGCATTCTTGCAGTTTAAACCATGCACTATGAAGTATGTTTATCCAGTTGTCATTAATAGCAAGACAGTAACAAATACTGTTTCCCAGACATTTCCCAAGCCCTTCTTATTTACAATGACAGTACTGTGTTGTAACCAATAAAGAAGTTTGGGTATCTAATCAGGGCAAAAAGCACTGTATAAATCCTCATGGCCAGATCCCCATGGAAAATAGGAAGGTGTGAATTTGAATCATCAGTTGAATGAAATAAAGCAGCGTGAACTGATCAAATTGAGGGATGGCTTCTCAGCTGGTAAATGCCAAAGGAGGGATTAGTTGGACACGTTCCTGAGGCAGCAGAGTACTTCTGACTGTAGTGTGTAGTTGGTATTGCTCACATGTTAAAGATTTCTTTATTTCCAATGAAATGGCTGATTTTGTAAATGTCCTTGTCTCCGTTTCCCACCTTCTTCCTATGGTATTGACTGGAAGGCTCTTGCCAGTCATCTGGATAAGTCTGCTCGACTGGAATCGCAGGTGAAACAGCTAATACAGATGGCAAACCAACAACAAAGTAAATTAGACTTGAGACCCCTGTTTGACACAATTGAAAATGTAAAACAGAAGATTGCCCTTATGGAGACATATGATCAGCGCTTAGGTAAGTCTGGACTTCCTTCTTTTCTGCATGGTTCTGGGATCTTTGTGGTGGCTAAGTAGAGGCTCTGGTACTGCAGTCAGTCAGTTGCAACTCTTAGCCAAAAAGGGTTCTCTTCTCCAGGCTTTCTGTGACCAACCTGTGGTAGTACATGCTACAAACATCCTCCCACCTTCCCCTACTCCATACTGTCACCAGAGGGCCCAGCTTCTGAATTCCTGAGGCACAGCGGGGCCAGAGTGCTGGGTTTGGTGAGGCTGGGGCACTGTGGTGGTAGCAGTCGTTGTTTCCCTAGTCAGACAGTAAATGTGGCTTGCAGTTAGTGTTTTTCCTTATTCAACTACCTGCTGCAACTAGAATTGGAAGAAAAAAAGGTTAACAGCTGCAGGTAACAGTCTGTACTGGGTACTGTTCTTATGTATTGTCAGCTCAAGTCTGGCTGCTCTCTGACAGTTTTATTTTACTTTTTCCCAGTTGTTTTGGAAAGTCAGTCCAGCAAACATGATCTCCAGATCAATATTCACAAAGCACAGCTCAATAAAAACGAAGAACGATTTAAGCTTTTGGAAGGCACATGCTACAACGGGAAATTAATTTGGAAAATCACAGACTACAAGATGAAGAAAAAAGAAGCAATGGAAGGTCGTGTCCTCTCCATCTTCAGCCAGCCCTTCTACACCAGCCGCTGTGGGTACAGGTTGTGTGCCAGAGCCTATCTGAATGGGGACGGCTCAGGCAAGGGAACACATGTCTCACTCTACTTTGTTGTCATGAGAGGCGAGTTCGACTCACTGTTGCCATGGCCCTTCAAGCAAAAGGTTACACTCATGCTTTTGGATCAAACTGGGAAAAAAAATCACATTGTGGAAGTCTTTAGAGCTGACCCCAACAGCAGCAGTTTCAAAAGGCCTGATGGAGAAATGAATATTGCCTCTGGTTGTCCACGCTTTGTGCCACACACAGTTCTGGAGAACACAAAGAATACCTATGTCAGAGATGACACTCTGTTTTTAAAAGTAGTTGTGGATCTAACTGATCTGGAGGAATTGTGAAGAAAAAAGTATCCAATCAGTGTGACTGCTTTAATTTTTATGAAATGCCTTCTTGTTGATTACTAGCCATGCAATAGTGAATTGCCACCTGTCAGCTACTCATGTGTTTCAAGGCTCTTGGACCATGTGACAGACAACGAATTGTTAAAACATCAGCCTTTGTTTTTTAACCTTTTTTCAAGCCTGCAGCTTTAAGGCAGCTGTAAGACCAGTCTGATGTGAACACGCATTCAATCCAGTGCTTTGACTAGGCTCAGTGTGGGCTGGGTGTGAATGCTTGGCTCACATCACAGGACTAGTAATTTAGGATGAAAATTCTCCTATAAGCCCTTGGGAGCCCAGGCAGGCCTGTGGGCTCCACTACTCACACCAGTGCACATTTCACTTGTCTGAAATGGAAACATTTCAATATTAGCTCGTTTGAATCAATGTATCATGAGCCCTCAATCTCCTGGATTTTTGAAGCAGTGAGAAAGGGGTTCAGCCAGACACCTGTCAGGGATCTTGCATACTTTTTTTCATTAACGTATTTTTTACCAGGAATTCCAGAGCAAAATACCAATGCCTCTTACTTTTCTAGCCTGATATTTCAGCTGTACAGAAGGTCACAAAACGGCTGTGGTAACATCATTTTCATTCCTGCCTAGTGCCTTGGGACTGATTTCTACTGGTGATCAACATCCACAGTCCCCAGCTGAGGTCAAAAGTAGTTGCATGTCCTTCTTACCTCTCAGGATATGGCCATAAGGTACTCAGCTGCCAGCTCTTGGAAGAAAGGGGACAAAATTCTTCAAAAGTTTGTCCTTCCAACTGCATCCCTGGGCCAACCAGCTCTACAGGTGGCAGGAAGAGCTCTGGATATGTTTGGGAAAAACCTCAGATAACATGCACTGTTCTCCCTAGAAATTTGGAATTTTGGGAATGAAGGGGGAAATAGACGAGGAAATGAAGTTCCTGTTGGAACCCAGGTCTCACGAGTAGTGCAGTTTGAGCATTTGTTAAAAGGAGTGAGAGCTGCAGAGCAATTACTGATAACTATGAAATACTTAGGAAGATCTTCATTTTTATCCTAAGTTCTCTCCGTATTGCAAGCGAACAATTGCATTTTATGTGGTTTATTGGAGACACACTAAGAATGCCAAGATCAGGCACCAAGCAACAAGAAGCAAAGAACACACGTGCCTTTTTAAAGTCTTTTGGGTGCTTGTAGGATGGATGTAATTTTGCACACTCAGTCTTTTGTTGTTAGAAGTGACGGAATTTTGTGTCTCATTTCTTGCAGATCAGGTAGTGAAAGAGCAAAATATTATCCACTGCTCCTGCAGCCCACTGGCAAAATAAAGCTGGAGCTTTTGAAAAGGATGGCAAGAAAGCAAGCTGGATTTAGAGTAAGAATAAACCAGGCAGAATAAAAACCAAAATGGGGCACAGACCCCGAGGTATAAGGTAGAAAATTCAAGACGGCAAGTGTGGCAAAATGGAAAATGCCACTTCTGTGCAGAATGATATAATATGATTTGGTGACTGACACTAAGATGAGGGCAAAGTACTTTTTATGTATTTTATATCTGGAAGCTCATTGCTATAGGCATTTACTTTTCCAGGCAGTTTCTGGAATGTAGATCAGACAAATATTTTCAAATTTGGAGGTGGAGTGGAGGAGAGGTCTTACGATCTGTACACCACAGTAAGGTAGTACATCTGGAAGTCCTTCTTGTTGCACCACGTCTGTGTATGATGGGCACACAGGGGTTTTCATAGTGACCGGACAGATGATAAAGGTCCAATTTTGTTCTTTTGTATCACCACCATGACTGACTTTACAGTCCATTTTCTCCACATAGCGGAGAGAATTGGGCCTCGTGTCCTTAACACTTTTCGTTACAGAAAGAGAAGTTTGTTTGAAAGATATTGCGATATCGTGGGACACTGATTCTAAGCCTCTGATGTGGACTTCGTATTGACTGATACTTTCAAAGGGATAACAGAGTGGTGTCAGCTGCAGGTCCTCGGACTGTCCAATGCGTGAAGTGTAAAATGAAAGACTGAAGACCCTGGAGAACTGAAGCAGGACGGAAAGGACGCACTCTGTATCTGGATGAATAACAGACCTCTCTGCCTCCACACCCCAAGTATAAAATGGGGGTGATAACACTTGTGGAAGTGTTAGGACTATTTCAATGTTTGTGAAGAGTTTTGAGCATGAAAAGAGCTAAGTACTATTAGAACTCCATTTCTGTCTGTTGAGTTGGTGATGGCGTAGTGATGTGGGTGTGTGTCAGTGTGTTGCCGGGCCAATGCTGGGAGCGTGCTCAGCTTTGGGCAGGCTGTGCCTGTGTTGGCGTTACCGTTTTGCCATGAACGTTCCTTTTAAAATTCTGAAGCACAAATGATTCCCCCTGGGTGACAGAAATGTCCCCGTTGGAGTACTGCCTATTTTATAATGAATTTATTGAGAAAATTACTTTTTTTTCTAAGGTGATCTTATTTAAACTGGTTTCTTTTGTTACAATAGTTGAGTTTTGTGTTAAGATTCTCAGCGATTTTTACTACTCGAGAACCACATTTTAAATTTCATCTCAAGGGTTAGGGAAAAACGTTGTCTAGCATGATTACTGGGGAAGGATTTTGTCGTTGCATGATAAATACCAAAAAACCTTTCAATAACGTACTGAGTAAACAACTAAAAGCGAGTTCTACATCAGCACACGGTGCATTTTTATGTAGTTACTGACCATTTGTAACTGTTCGAGTATCTCTTACTACAGTGCAGGCATTTTTCTAGCCTAACGTCATAACTGGATACGCAAAAACAGGGTCAGAATAAATAACGTTTACCACCTCTCCGGAGTGCCGTGAGTCCCGTCGGCGGGCAGCCGTTGCCATGGGCGGTGCCGAGCGCGGTGCCGGGCGGGCCGTGACGCTCTGCCGGGCCGGGGAGCGCCGCCTCCCGGTCGCCTCCAGCCCTTCCGGGTCAGCGCCGAGCCGCAGCCGGGTCCGTGCTGCCGCCGCGGCCGGCCCGGTAAGTGCGGCGCTGCGTCGGGCTCTGCGGGCGGGGCGGCCGCAGGAAATGGCGGCGGGGAGCCGGGCCCTCCGGTTGGAGCCGTCCCGGCGGCCTCAACGCTGCGTAGGCCGGGGATCGCTCCTCGCTGTTGCGGAACGTGGCCTCCTAATGCGCTGTCGGCTTGTAATCGCTTTGGCGAGAAATTTTGTGTAAATGCGTTGATAGTGACATCTTCGAAGGTTACGCACAAACGCGGTCTTGGCACACGTTCCTGCTGCAGGAAGATGGAAGCCTAAACTTTTGCTTCACCGTGGTGCGATGCGCTCTGTGCGGGTGCTGGCGGGGTTGGCCTTAGATGCCTTCTCGCCTTTCCTCTTTCACCGCACCCTTCCTCTTTCTTTTCTCCTCCAAGGCTTTTGGAGATGGTGCTCTTGACCAAGCTTTTGTCTCACTAGGTATGGACAACCAGAAGGATGAGAAAGGCAGGCTGCTCAGTGCAGCTTCTACAGAGGACCTGAAAGTCCGAGGTAGGCACAGCTGGTCAGTTTGACAGCCACAGTGCTGTGTGTGATCTGTTATCCTCTGTGTCAGCTACCATCTTTAACTGTCATCTTTACTGTATCGCTCGCTAATGATAACAGACTGTGGCACACTGGAAGAAAGAAACAGAAGAACGCTCCTCAAAATATGCTTTGGTTATGTTTAGTTTCTGTGAAATCATTTTTGTAGCTACTTGCAGGCATGTCACTTTTGCCTTGTGTTTTCCTAAGGAAAAGAAAAGAGGAAAAGAAAACGTAGCAGAAGCAGATCATCATCTGTTTCATCCACATCATCTTCTAGTACTGCATCCACTTCTTCTTCCTCATCGCATTCATCATCAAGGTCCTCATCTTCAAGTAGCAGAGGTAAGCTGAAGCTTCACGGGGGGGCCAATTAAGTAGGAAAAAGTTTTACTTTTGCCTTTAGCAGTGATGGAGTTTTCAAGTGAGTTGTCAGCTTTGGTAATACGTTTCTGTTGCTTTCTTTGCGTCCAGATCTCTGGCTATCAGACACTTGCAGTCTGTTAAGCACATCTGCAGAAAGAGAGAAATATTGTCACTAATGTCATATATTGCTATAAGTAATCAGTGCATAAAAAAGATTTCCAGTTTCCCTGTAATTAAATGGCAGTAAGCTAATGTGTTGTTTTTCATACAGTTAATTTGAGCCAGTGCTGATACATTCAGTTGAATTAAAGCATTTTCTTCCTATGCTTTACATTCCTGTATGCTTCATCTCTAAAACCAAATGCCTTTTTCAGAATACTGAACTTAGTTTATTTTTTTTCAGATTCTTCTAAAACTAAATCAAAGAGAAGGAAAAAAGAAAAACACAACAAAAAGGTAAATGTTTTCTAACAAACAGAAATAAGTAGTTAGCAAACAGAAAATAGCTCTTTGTACTTCAGTAGCCCTAAATATCATGGGATGTTTAATGCTTTTGTCTGTGGCTATGTAAATCCGAAGCGTGCTGTTACGGTTAAAGTAAGTGAACTCTTAAGTTCACCAGACTGTATATTAAGTGAGAAATAACTTATGGTTCCTTTTGCCAGTAATTGCTCATCCAACTAGAATTTAGCATAGTCGCTGAGGAAAATAAGTAGGAACCTTCATAACTTTACAGAATTTCTGTCAGAAGAAAACATTTATAGTTGGTCATAGATTCTCAGTGTTCTAATTTTCCTTTCTTCAGGTCCTAACTGCTGTTCAGTGATTGTATGCGTTAGGTGTACATTAAAAGAGAGAATCAGGGATCATACCATTTCCATTTCCAGAGATCCAAAGGTTGCTAACTTTGCTGAATTACTTTCTGTGTATTTCATATAGGACCAGCAGTGGTAAAGACAAGCAGCAGTGGCTCTGTTGGCTAGCCAGGGCATGGATAGGCTGCTTGTGGATTTTGGTTTTTTTGCCTTTGCGAATCTGTAAGTGCTACAGAATGTGTCTTATACTTGCAGAAGAGAAAAAAAGAGAACAAAATGAAGAAAAAGAAAGAAAAGAAGAAAAAGAAAGAAAAAACAGGACCTGTCCAGCTTTCAAAGGTATGCTTGTATGGGTTGAAATTCCCACTGTATTTCTCATTTAAACAATGTAATGTCCTAAAAATGTTTATAACTGCACCGTTTTTCCTAACCGAACAGAAACTTACCTTTATTTTTTAGACATCTAGGAAGTATGAGAGATTATAATCTATAATTTTCTTCAAGATTCATAAGTATTTGTAATATGAAGCAAAATTACAGGCGGTTTTTTCCTCATGTGTGGTTTTATTTTAGTTCTTCAAAAACAAAAAGAAGAATGAAAACTACAGCATGATAACTGGAAAGAAAATTAAGATGAAAATAAAGAAGACTAAGAAGGATAAAGAGGTAAGATTAAAAGTCTGTGCGTCCTTAATGGAAAATACCATCTTTTTTTAAATTTTCTTCATAGCGGTATTTAGTAGAAGAGTAGATCTTACAAGTTATAAATTGAATGAAGATTTTAATGTGGCTATGAATGCCATCTGAGAAATTTAAATTCATTCTTTGGGCAGGCTTTGTTAAATGAGCAGTCTTGGAATGTTCAGGCATGAATAGATAAACCAAAGGATGCTGATGCAATTCTCAGAATTTCGGCCCATAAGGTTGAGCTGGTTTGTGACTTTTCCTGTTTGTTGAGCTTGCACTCTTTTTAATTGTCCTCAGCTTTTTCCAGTCACTTGTGGTCAATTGTGGTAATTAATGCCTTACTCTGCTTTCTAACAACCATGAGACTAGCCGTTATACTGAGAAGAAGGAAAAAAGATAATAGGATCATGTTGATGCATTCTGCCAAAGTAGTCAAATGTTTTTCACTGAGATACCAAAGGAACTGGATATCAAGAACAGATAGAGAGCATTTTGTTCGCTTGCTAGGGATGCTGACACTCAGCACTCAAGTATGTTCTCTCTTTTCAGTAGTGTCCACACTTCATAGAAATCTGCAAGAGGACTTCTATATTTGTTACAAAGTGGCATTTTGCTGAAGTATCCAGATTGGTGGATTCTCACTTAGCCATGGCAGTTTGTTCTATAGTTACCAAAATAAACCTGAGCATTCCAAATTCAATTTCATCAAAAATACATTATCTTCTTCATGTGGCACTAAGGTTCCTTGCTGTCCTTATCCCAGTAACCTGCTTGCTGCAGCATGTGATGGCAAATATTTGATGTTTGCTTTTTTGATTGGCGGTTTCAGTGATGGACACACTGAACTGAACAATATCTCTTACTCACAATATTTTAATATTCAGTGATTGCTTCATAAATTGTGTTTTTAAAGATGAAAAAAAAATTGAAAAGCAACTGTTTTGATTATTTGGGCTGTCCCTTATGTAAAGAATGTACCTAAATCCACGTTTCCCTTTCTGTATTGCTACAAGCTGCTGCTTATGCATAGAAAAAACAATACTTCCCAGAGCAAGACTTCCTGTGTGTACGGCTGGTGTTGCTTCAGACACCAGAAGACTGCATCTGTTCTGCTTGTGAATTCCCCCCTGACACTAGGCTGTGTGAGCTACACGCTGACAACCCAGTGCAGCCTCCACAGGGAGCCACTTAGAAAATACACCATGAAATAACAGCAGAGACAGCTTGTCTCCTCTAGCATCTCTTCTGGGTACTCACTGCTTGCACTTCTCCCAGGCACTCTCAGCTGTCTGGCAGCCAGTAATGCTCAGTTGCCTGGGGTCCTCCCAGCAGCCTCACTGTTGCGTAGCCAGGGTGTTTGTCACCAAACACCATAACGTTTGTTGTGCTGTGTGCCCGTGTGCCAAGGCCCCACAGAAAACAGCTGTACAGCCTTGGTCCACCAAGCACAGGTCTGTTGAACTATTGCCTCTGCTTTTCTGCTCCACAGAGAGACCGGAACCGTGCAGAGCTGCTTGAATTTCTGAACTCTGCCTTATAATGGGAAGAGTGTGACCAAGGACTTGTAAATACGCCAAGCTGGTGATGATCATGCCTAGCAAAAAAGCTAAAGAAAACTCAGGGAAAAGGATGCCGAGTTTGACAAGACCAGACTCCTGCTGAGACAATCAGGATATCCTTTTTTTAATGGCAAAATGAAGATCAAACGATAACTTGTTAATGAAGATCTATGTCCTTTTGAGATGCTAAGGTAACAGCCAGGCTGTGGTGTTTTAGAAGATCCTAAGAGTGTGTCATTGGCAAAGACATGTATTGACACACCGAGGTCCAATTCTATCCTAACTGCATGCAGAACACACTTTTAATTTCAAATGTCTTAAAGTTTCCAGTAGCTTAAACAAAGCGGATTATTTGTAACTGTCTGTTGAAAGATGAGGCATTTCTATGTGTATATTTTTTCCAGTAGTGGTTTTACTTGTCCTAAAGAGCAGGTTGACCTTTGTAAATAGAACATCCTTTTACATAAATGCTTTTTTGACAGTTCATTCATTAATATATTATTTTATTTCAGAGTGTGAGGTGTGGTCTTTCTCTGGATGGTTTTATTACTCTTTGTCACTAGAAGTATCAACATTAAATATTCTAGAGCTGGATAATTTTTATTCCAAAACTGAAGAGGAAAAGTCTTTGGTTCTTTTTATCTGGAACAGCTGCTCACAGGCAGCACATGCTCACTAATTTACTCCCATATCTCAAGTTGCAGTTCCTAGAGCTAAGAAGCCTGAAGATCTGGCCTGCCTTTCTGACCCTGTGAGCTGTTTGTCAAATCTTCACATAGCATGCATCTGAGAGAAAGAGCCATTGGAATGGTTCTGAGGCAGGCAGTGACAGTGACAGAGATGTCCAGGTGCGTGTGTGTGTGTTTGTGTGTGTTTTGGCCTCAGCAGACTGCTCAAAGCCTGCTGCTCACTCCTTCCTAGAGCCCTGGCAGCAGGCCCCTGGGTACAGAAGAACTCTGACGTTGGAATTCCTTGTGAATCACTCATGTGCCAGATGCTCCTCAGGAGCCACTGAGAGGTGTGCCTAAAAAAGGCCTCAGTGTGGTTGCCTTTGACAAGGATATCAGGCGGTCAGAGCATGAGGAGTTCATTGCAGAGCAAACAAGTGGAAAGCTCTTTGAGTCTGTGTCTAGCATGGTGTTTAAGGAAATCTGAAGACTTTGTATTATTGTTCAAGGTGAAGTTTTTAAATTTGATGTGAAATCCTCTGGAGATGCTGGAATCCTGTTTTTTTTTTCTGCAGCTTTGTTGTTGTTGTGGAACATTTTGCAGTTGTTGCAGAGATTTAACTCTTTAGAGATTGAATCCTTGATTCAGAAAAGCTGGGTTATTTTATTCTTCTGAACATAAAACATGAAAACACAGGAGTAAGAAATGGAGTTTCCTTGAGTTTTTACATTGTTGTGGAAGTATTTTTCAAAGCAGTGTTCTGAAACATAAGAATCCAACTCCTTTACTTCATGGGGATTATTCTTTATGATTCATACTACTGCTATCTGTATTTCTATCTAGAGATGCCAAGTGTTATGCCCAGATAAGCAGCTTTTATCTTTTGACTTCTCTTGGGGAGGTTAATTCCAAACACACCGATAAGGTGTACTAACATCCTTGTCATTCCATACATTGTATGATTTATTAAATACTTATTTAAGTGTCACTACAATCATGTGCATCTGCTCTGCATGCAGCTTGGTGGAACCGAGTGTTTTTGAGGCTGCTCTTGGGAGCTGACCGACAGATTCCAGTCACACCAGTAAGCATTAGGCCTCTGCAGGCAGAGTCATTGTAGTGCCGTGCAGCCCCATGAAGAATTTTATTGTTGTTCACCTTTTAACTAAAGCATAACTTCTTAATGCTGCTTCAAATTTCTGTTATGCCAGCTTAACCAGAGACAGAACTGCATGTGAAGGTTATGATAGTAAGGTAACAGATGCAGATGTAGAAATTTGCGTGGAAACTCTGTAGCAGCATGGAATGTCAGCCTGATAGACAGCCTTGCTACCAGGTCTCCAAAAAGTGCTTATTGTAGAGAAAGATGAAGTGTGGAATAATGAGAATGCATGAGATAGGGATGGAGGGAGACTGCTGGTGTCGGAAATCATTGAGTGCAGGCAGAACTAAAGTGACGAGGGGATTCTGGGGCTTACCTGGCTGGACAAGTGGAGATTCTAGCTGAAAGGTTAAATAATAGGAGTCTTTCAGATGTGAAGCATACATTTTGTGTGTGTGAGAGTGGTCCCTATCACATCCTCTGTCTGAAATTCTGAAATAGAAGTCACTGTTGGGGTAGACTGGTAGAAGATACATTCTCTGAACTGCTGCTGCCGTGCCCCTCCTCCTTGTCAGTATCTTGCTTTTCAAGTATTCTCACCAAATGTGCCACTAGCAGCAGAATTTGTAAGATTTGGTCCCTTGAGTCTTCTTCCCCTGGCTCTTCAAGCTCTTTCCACCTGACCACTACTACTACCACTTGTGTGCACAGGTATAGAATGCTGTGTAGCTTTTGTCTGTTCCATGAAGGGAAGCTCATTTGGAGCTTCCTACATCTAGTGAGCAAATGTGAGCAAACAGGAAAGGAACCTGACATTTCTAAAGATCCCTCCCCAATAAGCACAGTTGGTAGTAGATCAAAAGGTTTTGGGAGAGGATGAAGCAGTTCCTTAAGTTTCTTGGGGGATCCAAACGTGAAAGAATAATTACTTGATACAAGCAATTAAGTGATTCAGAGAGTTCTCATAAGCAATGTAGTCCTTTGTCACTTGCTTTTATGATTTGCCTGAACTTGACTCCTTTGTGCAAAAAAGTACTGAGATTAAAGTGACAAATCAGTCAGAAATAGCAGTTAGGCATGGAAGCACTTGCTGTGTTAATCTAGGGTATATCAACCTGCAGTGCAGTGAGGGCGTGCAGTTTTGATCTCTTCAGTGCAGAGTATGGTTCAACTTAAGCAAGTTGTGCCATTTTGATGTACTTGGGTGTTTTGTGCTGCAGGATTATATGGGCTTCCCAGACATCTCTGAACATCTCCCTCTGCAGCTAGGAGGACAGCTGTACACGCAGGCAAAAGCCAAAAGTCAGAGAGGCTGAAGTAAGTTGACCTAGGGTCAGTCGAGGGCTGCCTGAGGCACCTGGTGACCACTGGGTGGAGCTCTGAAACAGCTTGCTGGACGTGTCAGTCCTGCAGGGCTTTGCTGTGATTGTTTAGAAACAGGTTTCCAAAACTGTTGCTCAGCTCTTGAGTCCAGCTCTCTTTTGGGCACTCTGTGAAATGGCTGGGTTTTTGTGGTAGGTTTTTTGGCTCTTCTGAGGGCTTTGAGGTTGTGGGCACACCAGGACATCCCCAAGGCCAGTTATTTACTTACATCTGAAGCTGTAGGGGGTGAGTCCTTCTAAGAGCTGCTGTTTAGAATTATCAGCAGACGCCCAGCCTTCCATCTCCATCTCTGGACGAAACAACTCACCAAAATTATTGTCCAGTACAGGACCATGATTTATTTGGCTCTTGAGAACAGTAACCTTTTTCTGCCTGCTCATTTTTGGCCTTAAGGTGTGATTCACAAGGAATAGGAAACATCTAGTGTTTTCTGCAAGGAGAGTAGGATGCAGTGCTGGTGGCTCTGAGGAAGCATGCTTTGAGACTTCGTAAGCAATGTGATGAACTGCTAATATCCATGCTGATAAATGTACGTCAGTGGCAGAGGTACAGAGCATTAAGAAGACAACTGGTACCAGCATGCCAACTGCTGGTGCTGTTTTCCATTCAGGTGTTCACGTAGTTGTATTTGGTTTGCGTTTTGTTCATGTGCTGTTCTCTGCATGACAGTGATATGAAAGAAAGGCAGCATAAGTGTGAGGAAGCGGTATTTGTTGGGAAAGGCAGGGTTAGAAAGTTCCTGCACTTTTCCTGTTAATCACTGCTTAGAATGTGCCAGCAGGTGGCATTGCTGTCCATCTGCACTGCCTCATACAGGGTTTTTTTGTTGTTGTTTTTCTCCTTTCAGACTTTGGCTTCCCTGAATTTTGAACTAGCCTGCAGAGATGTGTTGCTTATGGTGCATGTTTGTTACTGCTGTCCTATGAATGTAATCCAGTCTTTCTCCATTTCCTCCTCCTGGCTGTGCTTTGAACACACCACAGTCTGTCCTGCTTCTTCTCCTATACAGAAGGCAGGAGAAAGGTTGGAACTTCTGAGTAGCTGTATACCATGGGAGTGAGTTGCTGGGAGCCAGGAGGAACCTGGAAAGATTGGGTGCTCTTGCACCATCCTTACAGGAACTGCTGAGTTCTGTAGATACAATACTGTATTCTTCACCTGCTAAATAATTCTAGGCTTCCAGTATCAGAATGACACCAAAAAGGAAAGAGGGGTATTTCTCTGGCACTGTTTTGTTCTACATCTGTTATTTAACCTGTCTTCAGACTAAACTACACGTGTTCTGCTGCTTTAGGCAATCTGATACTGCTGATAAGACTGGAAGAGGTACAGTACATGGACTCTGACTCATCAGAAGCCTCTGAGAATATAGCATTATAATTACTAAATAGTAATAACAATATTTACATTCTGAGTGGATACTGGCATTTAGAAAATGCATTTCTCTTTCTCCTGCTGTATCATCCAATGGGGAAGGTTAGATTTACTTGGTGGAGGCAATGTGTAATTGTAAGCATAACAGCTGACAGGCTGTAATCTGCTTATCCAGTCAGGACTCCAGGAATTTTATGAAGTATGCTGTACACAGATGTTCATGAACCACCACATATTTCACTGTTCTTTTTGTAGGTTTTCTCTTTGCCTATCTGTCATGTTTATTAAGATCTCTTCCTACAAAGATTGAGAGTATCTTTACACAGCAACTGCACAGAAGACCACACGCCAATCATGGGAGACTTGGCCCTGCAGCCCACCTCTACCTCTTGGGGTCAGTACTGTGTCTTCCTGATGTGAGCTGGCTTGAAACACAGCTTGCCTGATCATACAGAGGGAACAAGAGGCCCCTTATGCAGAGAGGACAGCAGTACCAGCTAGAGGCAGGCTCCCAGACTGTTGTGTCTGTGCCTGGCACAGGTGGGTGGAACTCACTGAAGCTTAGAGTTCTTTCTCTGTTGCAGGGCACAACAAAAAAAGGTGCTGACTCGCACAGTCCTGTGCTTCCCAGAATGATTTTTTAGCAAAATTAGCATGCACCACGTAGCCTGTCCTCCCGTCTGAGCGGTGAAGTTAACACAGGAATACTGGAATGGCCTGTAACTGTTCTGTGGAAAAAGTGTAAGCAACAAGACAGAGACGTGTTTGTCCCCTGGTGTGTTTCTTTGCACAGCTTCTGGGAAGGAACGGCTTAAGCCTTCTGCTGTAGTCTGTATCTCAACCACTTACTTCAGTTTATTCCTGGAGCTCCCTTTGGGAAATGCTCTTCTGTCTGATCTCTGCAATTTACTGAGCAATGCAGTCCACACTTCAATGAGACTTTGTGTTGGGAAAAAAAAAAAGCTTCCTCTTGTTAAACTCTTGCGTGCTTTTCATGTGAATGCTTAGTGCAGGGAGCCCTGAGCCATCTGGGGCTGCATACTAATATTAAAGGGTTCCAGTATCTAGAATTGATAGGAGTGACTTGACTCGCAAGTTATCTGGTGACAAAACATTCATTATGTTGTTTTCCTCATTTTGTGGTAATACTGATCAATGTAAGACGTGCTTGGAAGCACACTGATGAAGATTTAAAGTCGAGGCTGTATCTGTAAAGCACTTAGCTTCAGAGAACTTCAGACTTCTGCAGTTGTTTAATCCTAGCTATTTATCACCTTACATCTTGGGATCTGTTTGAAGAGGTAGCAAGGCGGAAAGCAAGTGGCTGCTTTTGCACCTTGTAGAGAGAGGATGTTTTTTTGTTTAGCCTTGGTGTCTATCATTCTTGCCTTCCTCCTTTGATGCGTGCACAGTGTGCACTGGAGAACTAGAATGGCTTGTGTTTGGCTAGATGTGGACAGATTGCTTCTTTAATTAATGACAACAATTACAAAAATTTGTTTTATAGTTCATAGCTTTGCTTTAATTTTCTAAGGTTCCATGATGAAATACATAAACAGTGCAATCTCAGTAGACAGGTATTTCCTGTGAAGCATACTCCAGTTCTGCAAGGTGTGACAGCTGTCTGAGCTATATGCTGATAGAGCTGAAGAGTTTCCTCCTGCACATTTTTGCTGGCCACCACAACCTGTGGGCCAGTCTAGGCTGTAGGAGCAGAGCTGCATTTTCTTTCTTAGATGAGTAGCGGCTCTGAAAAGTGTTTCAGCCTCTTGAAGCCGAGCCGTGCACCTGAGCTGCTGTAGTGGTGTTGCCATTATGTGTTGGCATGTGTGATAAAAGTCTCTGATTGCTTTTTCCTGGGTGTAACAGTGTCCTTTGGACAGCGTAACAACTACCACTGATTGGGCAACAGTGATGCTCTAGGCTGACACCAAAGTCTTTGTTCAGTTTTGAAAGAATGAGGATTTGGAATTATTCTTGTTCAGTTTACTTAGTTGTTTGTTACTGGCATTGTGCTGCTATTTCACTTCTCATTTTTCTTTAGGAATTAAATCACTGGACTCTCTCTAGAGTGGCTAAGATAGTACAGTCTCCTCTAAGTTGTGTAGGAATGCTTTTCTACACTAGTAGGCAATGCAGTCCAGGAGAAGCAGAGCTGTAGAGCGGTACACTTGTCAGTAAGGGGTTAATGTTCACACTATACAAGTGTTAGGAGGTTTTCTTAGTCCTGTTTCAAGGTATGCAAACCTAAGAGTCAGCTGCAACAGATCATTTAGGTTAGCTTAATCCAAAAGCAATCTAGTTTGCCCCTGCTCAGGTATGTGAACCATAGCTCAGTAGGTAGGGGACAACCAGGAGTTGCACACTCCTGCTTTAATCTGAAATTCTAATTCAGTCACTCAAAACATGGAATTAAGAATAATGCAAAAATGAGTAGTTACTTGTTGCTGCATGCAGTGACCAAAGAATGATTTAGTTCAGTCTACAATTCCTAAGAAAAACAAGCGTTACAAGCATAGTGCAACAACTGAATATCCTAAGCACCTCCCCAGCTCTGCTTCACTACCTGCTGGTGCATACACTGTGCAAAAAGTTGCAGTCAGCTGGTTACAGGCAAGCATAGTGCTTGTTTTACACCTTTCAGAGTACTGGATGGCCAGATTGGTACCTGAATATCCTCTTCTTCATCAGATGGTTCTGTGAGCCCAGTGTAACTTGCAGAAGAGGTACAGGGAGAAAGTGGTACTATTTGAAAGTTTGGATTACATTTTATTGTGGAATTAGAGACGGCAGGTAAAGTGAAGCTTGACAGCTGTCACAGGTGCCATCACAGCCTGGCCCTCATCTGTATATGGCTTTGAGCAAAGGTCAGATTTGTCTCCCTCTGCTGACTGCAAAACAAGAATGGTATCTGCTAGCTGGAGGTTATTAATGAAGGATACAGTATGATCACAGCATGCTGTGATAATATTGCAAACACTCTTCAGCTGATTTCATTGGCTTTGTATATTGGTGCAGCGAAGTTAGTTGCTCCAGGTTCTCCTTTGGATAGAGTGAGCACATTGCTGACGCTGTACTGTAGCAAAGAGTTTTTATGTCAGTATCAGACTGTCCCTTCGCTCCCTGCAGACTATCAAATATTGCATCAAAACAGTCAGTACCGAGGGCATTAAAATAAAACTTGAGTACAAAAAATTGACTACAGCATTGTAGCATGAAATTCATGACCATTTCAGCCATCAGTCCAGCAAGTATAGTGGCTTGCAAATATATTTAAGAAATGGTTAACTTTTTTCAAAACAGTGGTTTTTTTAGATGGTAGCATCTTGCTAGGATCACAAAACTTCTAGATACTTAAGCCTATGCTAAGTATGTCAAGCTTTTATTGTACTGCATACACACAGTCACACCACTTCACAAGGACACCGAGCCAAAAAAACATCAAGTTGATTGTCAGAAGGCTTGAACCTCTCCCCTGTTGACCTGGAGCTGAAGTAGCCAGTCCTAAACTGAGTGGTGTATTTGGAAGCCCTGAGATATTTTTTTTTTTTAATTAAAAGTGATCTTCTGCAGCAGTGTTTACGAAGGGGCTAGATGCTACAGCCTTGTTTAGTCTTAGCTAGCCCAGAGGAAAGTGAGAAAGAGCCACAATTCCACAGTCCTAGAGAACTGTTAAGGATTTGATCTTGATCTTTGTTTTTAATGCTGTGATCCCCCAACTCTGGAAGAAACTGCACATTTCTACTCTAGGATAAATTTCATGTGCTGGAATTGTTCCCAGGGTTGGCATAGCTTCAACGGATTTTGTTTTGGCTGTAGTACTCACATGCTGTTGCAAAAATCCCTGGGGAAAAGAGTTGGAAACAGGCAAAAGAACAACAAAGCTATGCAGCGTTCTCCAGGAGGCTGTATCACAGTGGAGATGATTCCCAAAAGCCAGTCATAGGGGGAGATCCCAGAATTTTTCCTACTCTTTGGCTTCTTTCTACAGGAACCATGATTTTTACAGCACAATGTTCTCTTTCTTTTCCTGATGAAAGTTTTCCCTGTGGATGCTTTTCCTCCCTGGTGTTTTCTTGTTTACTCAAGGTCTCAGCAGAACCATGCTGGCCTAGAGGCAATTCAGTTTTCATTAAAGATTCTTCTGTAACAGTGTCCACTCACTGGCCAGCATCCTGCAATACTGGAAAGCTCTCCTCTGAGCACTCGTGAGAGAAGAGTGAGGGAATGGACCTTCATCTACCAGAGCCCTTCAGCCATTCACAACAGCAGCTTATTGAAACAGACTCAATTCTGAGCTGTACAGAGTGCAGTAGATGAATGCTGATTCCCTTCACCCTTCACTGATACTATTCTTCAGTACTCTTTCAGACTTAGTCATAAACATTAATTTCAGCCCAGTGAATTATTACTGGGATGCAGGGTGTAGCACTTACCTCAGTAACACAGAACACAGGACCAAGAAGAGCTTTTGACACAGAACTGATGTATCCACCCACAACAGTGTTACATTTCTATCTGCTCTGCAAGCACAAGGTTCAGGGGTTCTGCCTGCGTAAGAGAGAAAATACCCAAGAAACCTGAGCATGCTGTGGAATTATGTTAGTCTTCCACCTCAGAAAGTTTGAGTCTGCTTTGCTTGAGCTGGATTGCTACTCAAGAGCAGCGCTGGGTTTACCTGCATCTCCTGCAGCACTGCGGAAGGTTGTTAGTTGAAAAAAGAAGTTCAGTTCTGACTAGCCCTAACTCACAGGCCTGATCCTGAAAGCCTTTCTCATGCAAATGGAACTTCTTGCATTCAGGCAGCAGCTCTCACTAGCTTGGGCCAATAGCTTTAGAAGGTAACTTCATCCAGGCTGAGGGAAAAGGGAGAAGAAGAGAGAGATCACAAAATTAATTCATTTTCCACCAGGAAAGAAAAAAAAAAAAATAAAAATAAAAAATAGGATAGTAAGTGAGCCTTGCCCTTAAAGTTGCTGATTACTTCTAAATTAAAGGAAAAGCTAGCATGTGTGGTAATAAATTGTCACATATCGTGGGCATCAGCAGCAGTTACTATGGACACAGCTTCTGAGAGAGGCAGACAGTAAGAGAAAGATGGAACGAAGAAGAAATGGTAGAGCTAAAAAAAGGGTTAACTGGGATTTGGAGAGATCACTGTTTAAAAACCTTGTTCAGTACAGAGTCAGTAATCCTTGGCATTCCGGAATTCTGGCATGCTCCAAACCCTCCTGGTGGGCTGGGTGCCCCGCTCTACATCCTCAGAGATGGTCTTGATGTCACTGATGAATGGGGAAATCTTGGACCGGGACTTAAACGTTGTTAAGGAGAGGCTGGTTTTGTTCTTTGTGTTCCATTGCTTGGCGAGCTTCTTGGCGTCTTCCTCCTCTTTGATCTTCTCAACAGCTTCCTGCAGAACAGAGCGGAAGAGTCGAGATACTTCCTGCACTTCTGGTTCGTATTCAGCAACGAGTTGCCGGAATCTGAAAGCACAGTCAAGGCACAGCTTTGATTAAAAACATCAGATGAGGGATTGGTGCCAAGTCACAGGGCTAAGCTTGGAACTTGCGCTCTTACAAAATGGGACTCCCTGCATTGAAGGGAACAATAACAGAGAGGAGCTATGAAGATATGCTCAAGGTCTCTAAAATCCAGAAAGCCAGAGAATGTAAGGAAGCAATGAATCACTATTTCTCACAAGCACAAGAAATAATAGGGAGCACCAAACAAAGCTAGAGCGTGGCATCTTGGAAACAGAAGGAAGTGCTCTTTTCACATAACGCATATTAAGTCAGAAGCTTAACAACATGCTCAGACAAGTTTGTGGAAAATGTCCTCATCACTGCTGATTAACTGTGATTGTCCACGTGCAAATACTTGCTCAAGTAATCTCTAAACTGCTGCTTACCAGAAGCTGAGAATGTATCACAGAAGAGGTCCCACTGGATTCCTCATTTTTCACTCTCTTTTTTCCACAACATGACCTAGTGGCCGCTAGACAAACTCTTACCCAGTAAAACTCTGTTACATGTTCAATCTTTTCTTAATATTTAAGTTCCAATGGATTTCTGTAACATAACATTGGCTCAGCTGATAACATCTTGATTGGAAGCACAATACCTAATTGGAAGCACTGTACCTAATTAAACAACTCTGAAATGCTCCGCTGTCTTCTCAGCAAGAGCTCAGAATGATTTCTTGACATTTACTAAGCTAGCTTAGTATGAGGGAAGTGAAGAATTATCACTGTTTCTTTTGCAGGTGGGGAAAATGAGATGCAGAGCAGGGCAGTTTTTGTGAAGCCACTGAATCAGATCCTGGCTGGAGCAAGAAGAGAACGTACTTTCTGGACATCTGGTTGAGTAACTGGTCCCCATTCTGGACAGCTCATGAGCCACTCCTTTGGCTCTCACACTGGTTGCATAGATATTCTAGTTCTTCTGTAAGAGCACATGTTTATGACAGAAGATAACATGGCTACTCTTCTGATAATATTCAGTTCTTAACATAAAGATTTTATCTGCAGACAGAGCTAAACTATTACTTTACTAAAATCCAGGTAGTTATACTTAATGCAAGTTAAAATCTGTAATATCTGCAAGCATTTTTATATTTTCCTTTAACAGAACTGAGTGATGATGGAAAACAGTAGGAATGTATTTAAACAAGCCCAATAAGACAGCAGTCAACAGACTAAAATCCTGCCTCTAGGGTTTTTTTGATCATCCCTAAGAGTGTAACAGAGAGTTCAATGTACTCCATAACTTCAGTGTATAATGGTACCCAATGGCACTCAAGATATTAAGGGCAGAAGGAAAGCCAAAGGTGTAACTGAAAGATTGTATGTTTATGCTTTTGATTTTTACTGTTGAGGCCTGATATTGGCTGCATCTCCTGACATCATGCTATAACACAGATATTTCAGTGCTTGTTCTCTCAGAGCAAGTATTGACAGCTACACATACAACTGAGAGCATTGCACAGTGCTTGGGAAATTCAGTATCATCAGAACTACCACTCACTTTCAGGATACCAAACGATCAGTTACCAAAGTCACAGAGACGTTTCTTAACTATTGCAATTGCTTAGGATGTATTCCTAATCTCTCTCACCCTAACCATCATCACCTGCATCCCTACGGGTTATCACAAAACAGTGAGAACAGAGATTTGCTGTATATTGCAAACACAATCGTAGAATGGTTTGGGTTGGAAGGGACCTTTAAGATCATCTAGTTCCAGCCCCCCTGCTATAGGCAGGGATACCTCCCTTTAGACCAGGTTTCTTACAGTCCCATCCAGCCTGGACTTGATTTCTTCCAGGGAGGGGGCATCCACAGCCTCACTGGGCAACCTGTTCCAGTGTCTCACCACCCTCACAGTAAGCAATTTCTTTCTGATATCTAGTCTAAGTCTTCCCTCTTCCAGCTTAAAGCCATTTCCCCTTGTCCTGTCACTACACGCCTTTCTGCCTTCTGAGAAGGAACTTTACTTGCATTATCAAAGATCCACAAACCCAGTTCTCACAGTAAATACACTCTTCTCTTTATCCCAATCAGAAGTTTAGACAGATGAGTCCATCGAAACCTCAGTCTTCGCAACATTATTATTATGCCAGGGAAAGCATCTTCATAGGTCTTTTATTGCAAAGGTGAACTGAATGAGTCATTCTGTTTTATCTTTATGTGTATTTTAAAGAGCGATGCTGTCATATTGTATCTATCCACCAAAACACCTTCTTTTCTTTGTACTGGCAGTTGTGCACCCAGAAGACCCTAGAACTGCCTCAGGTTTTTGAGGTTGTTTAAAAACCAAACAGAAAACAATCCCAAGTGTCTGCCAGTCACTCAAAGAAAAGCCATTGTCATTCAGATAGAGAGGGGAAGGAGAGCTTTTTTCTCCCTCCACAGTAAGATGAACCCTGTCCCTTTGTTAATGCCCAGCTCCAGGACCAGCATGTTTGTGTAAGGGAGAGTTGATTGCATAAAGTCCAAAAGGCATGAGTGCCACAAGCATTTTCCAGAACAAAGGATGAGCAGTTTATCAGGGTAAGATCTAGCTAAATGAGTCCATGTATTGGAAGGCAGGTGATGTTTACTGCAGCCATTTGTACACAGCTGAAGCCATTCTCCCCAGCTACCAGTGAAAGCCAGTTGCAGTGCTGGGCTGATCAGTCTGTTCTCTGCACAACATGTAAAGCCAGTTTAAACCTCTGGAATAAGAGAATGTGGGCTTATATCCTGTGTGCCATCACTGGGAAACAAGCTCTACACAAAGCCGTTCAGTAGAACCAAGCACACAAAATTGCACAAGGCTTACCTATCTTCTAGCACAGGTTAACACCCTTACACTTTTGCATGAAATAGTTTCAAACCCAGCAACTGTGCAATGATATCTGAAAAATCCATCAATAGGGTTTCCTTACTCATCTGAAAAGCATACCTATCTACCTTATTTATGAAATGAGTTAAGAAGATAACACTAGTAGCTAACCTGTAATATACTACAGGAGTTTAATGTAAACACCTTAAGACGTGACTATCAACAGAAGTCACCTTAAACCAGCACAGGAGCCTAAAGAGCACATTATGTGCATGTAGAGATGAGCCTGTTCAGTAGTCCAGGCTGTGCTTTCATCACAGTCCAAACAAATTTGTTTCAGTTGCAACCCTTCAGTTTCCTCACAGAACCATTTGATTTTAAGCCTGGCTGCACTCGGCCACCTGCCTGTCTTATTCTGTGGGCACTCAGTTAAACAGGTTTCCCAAATAAAGCCTGAACTCTACAGATCTGTTAAATCCAGTGGAAGTTGGTGGACTTAAACAATATGTTTATAGTGAAGCGTGTTCCCAAGTGCCTGCCCGAACTGGGAGCTCTAGGTAGATTTAGTCATTGACAGAAAACATGGGGTGCTTAGTGCTAATAATCAGCTGCCGACTCCTGAACCTTTATGTTGGGCAAGATTTCTGGTGATGCTGTGAAGCTGTGAACAGCTTTGATAGAGAAGGTTGCTTGACTCACAAACGATGATGCCACTCACACTAACTGCTACTCTGGAGCCACGTCAACCTCGAACTTGAGAGCATAATTGTAAACAAACACATTGCTGATTGTAGTCATTTGTCTTACATTCAAGCTCACTCTGAAGTCAATTTCTGCTATAGATAATTCTTAGAAAATTACAGTCCTAAGCCTATGCTATTAATGATATCAGATCACCAAAATGAAGCTTTGCTTTTCTATACTATACTTTTTTTGTTTCTCTCTGGACAGAATCTGACAGTTTCACTTTTCCCAAAACTGAAGGAAATGAAACTGACCGTAACCAGCTCTGATTAGAGCTACCAGTAGAGTAGAGATGGTGAAAATCTACCATTCTGCTAATTTGTTTAATCATGTCAGCTAGGTACGAAGGGCCTTAGCAAAAATCAGTCACCTCCTTCAGATGGCTCACACAGCTTAAACCACAAAGCCATCTCCAATCCAGTAATCTACAATTAAAGTTGCATGTGAATGCAAAGCTTTATTTGTATGAGGTAAATCAGAGTCTCCAGCTGTGGAAGAAGTGATGATATCTGAAGTGTATTTGAATCTTAAAAAAATGTCAAGAGGCTGAAATAAAATCTTCTACTGACTTAAAATACGCTTTTACAGGACAGACAAACTGAATCCAAAAAAACCCCTCCATCTTAAGAAATGCTCCTTCCCAATCTCCTCCACATCCAAAGAGATAAGAACTCTGCCTCCCAGTAGATGTGACTGTAGCCACACAAGAAGACAATTTGGACAATCAGTTAGTCCTGTGAAGAACAAAGGGACATCTCTGACAACTCATCAAAAAGCATTTTGTTGTGGCTTTGACACTTAGCCTGAGTCTCACAAAGGAGAGCCTGCATGACACAAACTAAACGAACTCACCCTTTGTGCAAGACTCACACTACCTGTGTTATTTAGATATTTGCATGCTTGCTTTGAAGCTCCATCAAAAAGAACTTCAGTTCTTCAAATGTGTAAAATGAAGGGATCAAGGGAACAGAAGGGCTTCTGCAAGGTACACGCTCAGCATCTGCGTTTCCAGATCCAAGTTTGGAGACTTTTCTTTTTTTGGGGGGTGGAAGATTTTCTACAAGTTGTTACATGTTATGAAGTCACAAGGTTTTTCAGGAAAAACATCAGAAGCACAGTGATTAAAATACGTAATTGGCAGTTTGAAGATTTCAGTCAAAGCCCTACGATAGATATCCCATATATTTTGGGGGCAAGTTATTACGATTTCAAAGCTTTCTCACTTTCTGAGACAAGAATTAATCCAGTCTTAGATGTCTTCTAATTAGGCTGCACACTCCCATCTCTTGCACATTCTCAACTCCTAGCATGGCAAGCCTCATTCTTCCATTTTCTGGCCTCTCAGAAGGCAGAGAAGAAGAGGAGTCGACTGTTCACTTTTCCAACACAGGAAGAAGTACTTATCAAGTAAAACCAGAACATGATAGTTTGAGGCAAGCAAAATACAGTTTTCCACAGCAAAGTTATAATTCAGATGTGGAACTCCACCACAGATAGGAGAAGTTTACATATTCAAAAACAAAACAAAATTCTGAAGAAAAAAAAGAAAAAAAAAAAACTAAAGAAAAAGCCACATAGGGCAGTTACAGACAGAAGCACCACTTCTGGCTCCACAAATCTTCATGTGACAAGGCACAGTAAGCCAGCAGCCATACACAAGATACCATCCATGGTGTATCTGCTTGCCTCATTTGTTTACTTCAGACAGATGCCACTACATCATGCACAGATCAAACAGACCTTTGACCCAGTCCAGTTCTGCCATTTTTATGGCCATGACATTCCTTTCTTAACCACTGATCTGAAACAATTAAGGCATTTTTTTTCCTCCCCTCCACATGGCTTTGCTACCCATGCAAACTCCTTAGCATGAAACAAACAAAACACACCACTTCTTGAATTATACCGTAATCCAGTTTCTGACAGTCTATCACAGTAACTTAAAATAGGCCTCTTGAAAGGATGGTTTTGTGATTTTTTCAATGATGCACACATACAATTTGACAACACTGTTGAATATGTTTACCTCCAGTTAAAGGCATGCTGAATACTGAATGAGATTGAGCAACTTCTACAAGTTACTCTGAAATCAAGGGGAAAAAAATGCACACAAAATATCTTGCATCATCTGTCTCAATTAAAAATAAAAATAAATGATAAGCAAATGGTGTATGTCACAGCTTAATACTCCTCTGAAGTTAGAACCTTGAGGCCTCCCAGCTCCAATGGCTCTTATGGAAATACTCATTTGCCAGACAGATCTTGCTCAGTGGCTCTGGGGATGTTGAGAATTACTCAGAACCCCAAGGAATTTGCAGTGATGTTTACAACATAGTTTAAAGTTATACAAACACAAGGCAAGTCTGTTGCCAGCAAACTTTCATTGCTACTGAGCAACCCCAAATCTCTGGTTCTTCCACCACAGCAATCTTTGCGATAGCCAAAGCCCTGTACCCCCTTATTTCCAAGGTTCAGCCCTGGGCAAGGAAGGCTGTAAGTCAGAGGGCCAGTGATTTCCAGCCCTCTTACAGCTGCAGTGCCAGAGCTGTAGATTGAAGGGAAAACAGGGAAGGCATATGCAGTGAGAAACTTGCAGAGTGCTCAGCACCCCAGTGTAAGTGGCGTGCCAGGACTGTGCTTCTAATCCCAAGTGAAAAACACAGTGAGATGGGGGAGGTGGATTATAAAGGCCCAACTCACAACTTTACTTTGATTCCATGAGACTTCAGAGCCATTGCTCCTCACTTGCACTGTGCTAAGTGAGAGGGCTTAATTTAGACTGGATCTCTCAAAAGGGAAAGAAAAAAGTCACTTCCTACCCTTCCAGTTTGGATGCCATTACAGTTAGGTAGGTTGGTTCTAGTTCAAAGCCAACCTCACAAAAGGTTGGTCAGCCAGCAATGAGCAATCCAGTGTCTAGGGTTGCTTGGAAGGCTCACCAGCAAGTGCAAGAGGCTACATCACAGAAGGCAGAAGCACTAGCTAGCTGTTCAAGCCGAATGCTTGCTCTACCTGCATGTATATGAGGGAACAAGCATGCTCTCCTTCCTTTTTCTGGGAACATATGACTCAGACTGAAAAATACAATAGCACCTTTTGGCTAGTCTGGACACTGTTGGGACAAGTGCCTTGGTAAAGCTTCTGCCCAGCTTAAATCAAAGAAGGAAGTCTCAAATTAGAGTGGATAAATACTGAAGCATGTTGTTCAGCGGCTGTGGAATCTCCACCCTCAGAGATACTCAGCAATGGGTAGAATAAGGCCTCAGCAACCTGACCTGGCTGTGAAGTTGGCCAGTTCAGAGAGGCACACACTTCCAGTGATCCCTTTAATCCTTGCTTATTCAAAGATTCTAACGACTGAAGCAAAAACCATGAAATACTGAAACTGCAGCAAAATCAGGCAAGACAAAGTTTATCTGGCTGATCAGGAGCATAAAGTATTCAAGCCACTCAGAAAGCAATGGCATTTAGTAGCTTTCCAGAGGAAATGATACCACTTGAATCTGACTTTAAACATTCAGCCTTTCTTCTCCCACAAAGACATTGCCACAACAAAACCCTCAGTACAGGATGCCCAAGTCTTGGTTCTGTTGGTCCTAACAACTCTTGCTCCCCCCTCACACACCATAAAGAGGAGAGAGAGAAAGGGAAGGTCTGGATCATCAGATCTTTTACTGTACCTGAGTATGACAGGCCCACAGTAGGAGGGATGTATTTTGGTACACATATCCTCCAGCTGCAGCCTTTCTCCTGGGCTGATATCATAGCTCTGCTTTGGGTAGCTGACCAGCCAGCCGTAGTCCACCCCAGTCTTGATCTTGCGATACTCATTCTCCCGCTCCCGCTGCTGCTTCTCTGCCTGCTTGATCTGCCAGCTCAGCTCCATCATTAGCGTCTCAACCACCATCTCTGTGGGGTTCCTCTGGGAAATCCGATTTGGGGGCTCATTCCACCTGAACCAGGATGCCAGTGACATAGTGCCCTGCGTGTCTTCACTGGGAGCAAATTGGGGGTAGGGAAAGAGAGAAAAAGAACAGCGCCATCATCAACACAGCTCAGAGAAGAACTTTCTCCCCCACACATCCCTCAAATCTGTTGTTTGCTTTTAAGTGCTGCTGGATTAGCCACTTAGAGGAACTACTCGTTGTGGGCATCTTGAGAAATAAATCTCACCTTTAGCAACCAAATTGTGTAGAGAGGCACTGAACTGCCAGTCACCACATAATTAAAATTACAGGCACAATTCTTACATCTGAAGTCAAGTTATGGAATATCTTTCTCCCACTGATAGGTAGGGGAAGAACTCTCCTGTCCACAGAACAGGGACTGGGCTTTGGCTGTATGAACCCTCATGGGAGAGCGGGACCCTACATACAAAAACTCAACACAAGGAGTCAGGTGTATGTAGGCATTATGGGAGCCATGTGCTAGCCAACAGGGCATCCTCAGAGGGAGCAGAGAAAACGTAACACAGGCAGATAGCAGAAGTGATAGAGTTCATCTGTATTTCTTGCTGGCAAAAGCAACAGTTGCATTCATCACAAGACCAGACAGAGCTTTAAATTTTATTTAGCAAGAGTCACTGCACGCAATGGGAGAGGCTACACCATCTTCTCCGAGCGGAAGTCCAACTACCAGTTATACCAGAATAGCACACCTTAGGCACACACCACCAGTAGTAAAGGAGCTGAGGTTGGGCTGAGAGAAAAGTGGCAGCATATCAAGGTTTAAACTGGTATTACTTCTAAGTGAGAAGTTTCTGCTGCTGGGGAGTTACACAGCACTTAGAATGCAAAACAAGCTGCACCAATCAGCTCAGTGAAAGATGGAATTAACTCCCTTTTGTGTAGCTGTTCCATTATCCTCAGATAGCGAAGTTATTAACAATTGTATTTGTATTTAAACAAAACAGAGTTCAGAGCAGTCACCAGAGTCTTGAACAGGAGTAAAACAGCATCCGTTTCTTCTCACAGCATACTTGCCTTGCTGCTCCCTTCTATTAGCCTACAGGGAGGAGGGGTGGCACAAATCATGCTTGCAGCTGGATCACCAAAAGGCCCCTCCTGGCTGCAACTCAATCAGGACAGAGTTTCAGCTGTTAACATAAGAGCCCGATTCTGCAGGGCCTGAGAAAACTTCTTCTGATAAGAGAAACAGACATGAAGACAGACATAAAAGAGAAAAATAAGCTTTTAAGCTGCCACACTGGGGCCTTCAGTCAGTGCAAATCACCAGAAGCTTGTGACTACCCTGCATTCTCATTACAGCTTAGACACAAGTTCTCAGACTTCCTAGAAGAGCAATGCTCTTCTGCCTTCCGAGATTCTGCCTTCAGTGCCAAAAAGCCATCATCCTCTGCACTGGATGTGAAGGCCGCTTGAGCTGCTTCCACAGCTTTATTGCTTGCTATGATGTAGACTTGTTCTCTTTCCAGAATGTCCATAGGTCACACCATTAAAGAACAATGCTTCAAAAACCTGGACAGTCTGTACTGTGTCCTGAGTTTGAAGTGATCTCAGAGACTGATGCTTAGGCTTCATTAAAATCACAAAATGCAACAAAGGACAAGTTTCCCTAGTCCAATATCTTTCCTCTCACTGCCAGCTACAGGCTTCTTCAGAAAGAAGACATATAAGGGCTGAAAGCTTCCACAGATGCGGCTACCTAGATGTGTAAGGCTGCACATATTCCTGTGAGACTGTATAAACATGAGAGTATGTACTAATTTGCAATGCTTACACATGAGAGATCACTATAGCGACTGTTTTTCACTCTGGAGTAGCAGCTGTGATTATCTTCACCATACCACTCCTAGTTGGCACTTGCTGGAAGTTCTCCTACTCCTATCTAATTTCTGTGCCCTAGAGGAAGAGCAGGAGGCCCCTTCCTATGCTTTCAGCACCTGTGACTCCAGCCATCAATCTGCTCCTGCTCTTGTATCAGCACTGCTACTGCTTACTGCCCAACACGCATGAATGAACTCAGTCTGGAACTGGTGTGCTGACAGTGTCAGCTCCATCATCTCATCACCCTAACATGTGCTTGAATCTTGCTATGTGGTCATCTCCACTGCTCAGTACAAATTATTAAGGATGAAGATCCTTAAAGCCTTTTCATTGGTTTTATCCCTCCTTACATGTCACAAAAGCGTGCTCTCTGTTCACAAAAAAGTGCAGCAGAACAGACTACAAGTTGTTATAACAGATCATTATAAAATCTCAGGTTTGTTTTTCAGCTTATGTGACAACTGCCGTTTATCATCAGCTTTTACAGGTATCTAACTGTACCAGAATATATGGTATACAGGTATAGAACCTGTACCATTATTATTTTCTCTTGCACCTGGACTTGATGAGAGAAAGCCTATGCTATTGGTTCTATGTTACGTGGCTTTCATATGGTGCTGGAGCATTCCTACTACCTTCATCTTTTTGTTTCACCTCACAGGTCTCCCTCAAACAAAGTAGTTGCGCTTGAGACCTGTTTTCCATCGCCCAGTATTGCAGAGGGCAATCAGTCAGAAAAGTAGCTTGCATATTTTGTCTGAGCAAGGCCTGCTGAACCCTACTTTTGCAGTATTCCATAGCTTTCATAAAGCACTGATCACAGATTTTGAAAAAGTACAGAGGTGGCACAGAAGCACGGATACTGTTATTTGTAAGCCAGAGAGAAGCAACACTGTCACCCTCACTCTGACCTTTGACAAACTGTTGTGAAAGTCCCACAACCCAGCTGCCTCCATCTCTTACACCAGAAGAGCAGCATCAGGCCAGCAGTCACCCCAAGGTGGTTGTGAGCACCCCAGAACCAACCTTCCAGTAGGGTGCCATCTGGAATACCTCTCCAGGCAATGAGCTGCAGTCTCAGCCTTCCTCACATCTTTGGAGGGATGCGAGGAGGTGCTTTCCCCTCTGCTCTGGCAGTGGTCTGAGCAGAGTGTTGGCTCTGACCATGTGTCAAGCAGCTCTGGTCCGAATGGGTCTTGCATTCACCTCTCACAAGTTATTTGAAAAATTCACTTGCACCTAAGATCAATACGAAGTAAGGAAAGCATCTCACCCATAACTGAAACAGCCAGTTCTCCAACAAAGGAAAATCGTTTGCAAGCATTTTGTGCACAGTGGCAGCTTGTGCTGGCTGTTCTAAAGGAGCCTTGTTTGTCTGAGATTGTTTCCTTCCCCATCTCTCATCCATCACCTCCTCCTTTTGAGAGTTGGAAACTGGCCATCTCTATTTAGCAGACTTGACAAGCCTCTACACTTTCCACTACTGGTCTTTGCAGCCTGCAGCAGGCAGCATGGGCTCCCTTAATTGTAGCTGCTGTTTTCAATTTAAAGTTCACATGCAGGCTAATCATTAAATGACTCAACATGGCTTTCCCATTAAAAAGACTTAAAAGAGCATTGGCAGGATGTAGAAAACTAGAGGATGGCAAAAGTTTCAGACTGTCCTTACTGGGGAAAAGGACAAATTTACACTTTGCAAGCATTCATGTTAGAATTATTAAAAGAAAGAAAGGGACACTGCTCCATCTAAATACAGATCCTTCTGCTGCACAGTCAGTTTTCTGTTTCCTTCTAAAAGGCTGTCCTGGAACCTGATGAACTACTCAGGCTTTATTCAAGCAGAATTTAGGGTAGTTTAAAAAAGCTCCACTCCAAAAGCAGTTACATGTTTCAAAGCTTTTGCTTCACTGACTCCACTGCCAGCCAAACAGTTCCCTCATGCTGTCAATTACAATTCAGCCCAACCACCTGACAGAATTTTAAGCATAAGTTATCCCTAAATTACGAAAGTCTGGAATCCCTCTCTTTCCTTTCTTTAACAAAGCCCCTGATGGTTTTTTTCAATGTCTACTGATGGTTAGTAAGCACTTCTGAGACTTTTTTAAGGTAAAAGTTTCCTTTTACCTTTAAAGAAGCCTTTCTGCCTCCCCAGATCTCATTTTTGTTTTGCACATAGGCAGCAATTCCTGCATACCTCTCCTTTTACAGTTTACAGTTCTCCCCTTCCACTTCTCTACCTTTTCCCATATTTCCCCATGCAATTTTCTCTTCTTGCTACAGTGAACATATCAAAGAATCAGCAGAAGTATTGGGGTCCTCATTCTTTCTTTGGTTTCTCACCTCCCTATAACAGGATTTCAGATTCTCCTAGCTCTTTTAGTGTGAAAGAGAATAGTTCCATAGTTTGATCTCTGGCTACTCTTTTGCCAGATGGAGGCCGTTGATAAAACCTGGCAGCTGTCAGCCTCCTTCAGGCTCTTGCAGGTGAGATCACCACCTGCTAAGACCTGTTACACCAGGCTGCTTTCCGGTAAGCCATGAGTCAATCGGCAGGACCTGTTTGCCTTGTAGGAAATTTTTTATTCAGAAGCGTATTTCACTTTCATTGAACCTTCTCTTGGTTCTCAGTTTCCAAAACCCTCTCAGACAGGAATAGACAGAGGTTGAGAAATGCATATTTATGAAAAAAGGAGCTTTGCTTTCTATACAGGTATGTTTTCAGTTGATAACCCTCCTTTGCAGCCTGTCAGTGCAGAAGTACTACCAAGAACACCTAGTGACTCCCAATAATCAAAGGGGTATGACAGCTGTGTCAGAGCAGAGGGAGAAAAGATGCGAGGGGCTGGATGAGCAGGAGCCTAATCCACTATTGAACGGCGTCAATGGAAATGTTGTCACTCAGCTGGCTATAGATAGTCCCATGAAATCCGCTGTCACCCAGGCTGTACACTGACAGACCGGGCTCAGGAGCTGGGAAATGCCTTCCCCCATCCCAAGGGTGGTGGCTCCTTGCTGCAAGAGTCAGAGAGCAGAGATAGGATTTGTTCATGTAAGATACCAACTCAGTCTTGCTCCACACGTTCCAGATCAGACAGGAACAAGCATGAAAAATGATTTCTAAAAGAAGAGTGACAAGCTCCATCTCCAAACTGTGTTCATAATCATACTTCTAAAGAGAAATGCAGCCACAGGGAAAACAGGAGATTTGA